CTCTCTCCATCTCACCCTTCCTCCTCCCAGAGACCTGAAAGCGTTATTCTCTGCCTGGGAATATTTGCCGTGCAACAGAGCAAGAGCATGCAACAAGAACTCTTACCGCTCTCAAAATAGACACCTCGTAGATACACAGACCTCATTATGAATGACTGAAAGGCCTCATGAATTATTTGAATCTTCCACTGTCTGCCAGATAAAACGCGACCTCTAATTCTATGTAAATAAGGATGATTATATATATTTTTTATATGAAAACTTTTAACGTCTAAAGCATCTAATGACCTCAATGGAGAGGAATTAACTATGACAAAACCCAAAGGTTAAATGTGTGACCCCACGCTAAAGTGAATTTCGACTGTTTAAAGCTTGAGGTGTGCTATTTTTACAACATTTTTGTCCACTGGAAAAATTAAACAGGTAGCACTTTAATGTACAGTCCTGTTGCCCATGTAGACTATGTATTTATTATAGTAATTGCAATACCTGGGTAATATAGGTACTAACCCTGAATCTACCCCTAAACCTAACCTTAACCCATGTAGTTACCTTATATTACCCAATACTTTCTTAGGTAATACACTGTAAGTACACGTAAACACATTAATGTTTACCTATTTTAAAATATTATTTTTAAAGTGCTACATGCAAACACAGATCGCATAAAGATGCCTTATACATTGTCTATTCTCATCTGAGGTAACACTCTCTCAAGGGGCTGCGCAACAGCTATAAAAATCCTCTCTCTGAGCAACCGGCTGCTACTTGTAGCTACTGAAGTGTGTCTGAGAAAAGTTAGCCAGCAGACATTGCTTTTCAAGACCTCCACCTACACCAGAATGGACAACTACACAAAGCAAACCCTGATGAGAGCATCAGAAGGAACAGCGTGCTTTATGTTACAGGTGTCATGGTTGCGCTGTTCGAAAAGAAAGCACACATACTGTATGTATTAGAATACTATTAAAAAGACTAAAAAGACACAAGCTGCTTGGTTATAAACAGAACTCTAGAGAAAGGAGATCGCTGGACGGTGAAACATATCTGAATAACAGAGGATGTGACAGACAGCTGAGGTACTGAGAACCTATATACTGTGGAGGATACATATGTCATCTATAGTACCTTGCTTTAAAGGAACTGGCATATCTGCAGGACTGGGCAGTTTCAGAAGGGAAACATCATTGTAGGGACTTTCATTCGTGAAATTCTCAACTCAAAAAACATCAAAACCTCCGCAAATTTGGTGTGTTGTTGCCCCTAACACAAACCACTGCAGAGTTTTAAATGAGTTTAAATCATTTCATAATCTGAGCAGTATCTTAAAACTTCCACTAAGATTAAACAGTCAACTACAGCACACAAAACAACAAGATGAACACTGCAAAAAATTACCCTAATATCGATACTGTATAGTGCTTCGAGGTCCTGTTCACTATAATCGATAACTAAGGGGACGTTTACACGACAATAATGTACTAATAACGGAAAAAGATGTTTCTTTGTGTTTTTCGCGTACAGACAACAACGTTGTCAAAATGATCCCTGTTCACACGGATCAGAGAAAATGACTAAAATGCTGCATTATTCATGGAAGACCAGTAGTTGGCGATGTCACTTTGTAAAGAAACACTACGCGACTGAACACATATTCCATCACCATTTTCACAAATTCACGTTTTTGTAGTTTACACAGAGATGATGATAACAGTATCGTTTTCAGGCCCCCAAAGCAGTTGTTGGATAAATGAATGGCCAAAAGGCATAAAAAGTTTTCTGCTTTTGTGTGAAACGAGTAGGTGGGGTCACTTTAGTGAAATTTCATGGGTCATATAAAAGTGTAGCGATATATGAAGCACAGCTCACACAAATCACTTTCAAACAAAGCAGCTTTCTTTTGACCAATGCAGCGAATCCGCAAGACCAATCTTTCGCCGAAATTCCAATCACATGGATTCCTATTGAAATTACTGAATTTTCAACACAATCTCACAGCAATTCTTAAATATTTTATGTTTTAGCGAATTGGTGGCTAATGCATATTAATTTGTATAATCTCATTTGTATGTTTTCGTTCGATCTGCTTATGCTCCAGTGATGGGTATGTTTAGAGGGTGAGGTTAGGGGTGGTCCTTCATGCTTTTTAAAAAAAATCATACGAATTAATCTGCAATTGCCACCTCGTAACATAGTTAAATTTTCCAGTGATATCAGGATGAAATTTCACCGAACAAATTCACCGCCGAACAACGGTATGGTGATATGAGACACTTTAAAGTAGCGCCGTTTCAATTGACGATGGAGAATATTCGAAAAATATTAGACCACAATCATAATCATTTAATCCAAAAATGTAATACAATGTTTTCCAAGTGCTATAAACCTTTAATAACTCTGTGAAGAACAGACTGAATTTTTTTGTTATTTGTGCGAACAAATTCACAGCTCTAAAATCTCATTCAAAGAGATATCTTTAAATTTGGGTATGGCAGTCTCTCACAGGACACACAAGAGGGAATAATCAGGGAATAAACCTCAAGAAAAAGATTTTCAGGGAATAACAAAACTTGGATTGTTCGTCACTCAAAGCTTATGGCTTCAGGAGGTCAATACTCAACATCAGAAGAATATAGAGAACAAGGACCACTATGCAGATTTTTAAGGCTTGAACATTCAGCAAAACAAATTAATAAAAAATAATCTACAAGTGGCATTTTGCTGAGGAACGTTTTCTTATGAGCATGTTGGCACGTACAGAAACTGGCCCGCTATTAGTTGTAGCACATCAAAAAACTCTTTTAATGAATACCTCTCTCTGACCCGTGTGTGTTTTCAAATACAAGGCTTGCTTTAATAGCCTCTGATCTAATCCATCAGTTGACACCGGCACAATTTCAGCCATTGCTGATTGTAACCTCATGGATATTGATTCTGGCTTCCCAGAATGAAAACAGTGATGTCACTAATAAGCAGTTACTTTGACTAAACCCAATCCAATCACTTCTGAAAATGTTTATTCTGAGATCAAGCTGGGTCTCAGCTGTAAAAGTAAACCAGCTTGACTTGAGAGAGAGTTATGGGGTTTGTCAGAGAGCCGAGGACCTCAGAGTGCACACGGAGAGTACAGCAGACGCAGGAATCACTCAGGGGATGCTGTGATCCTAAAGCAGAGAGACAGGGACGAAACAGCAAACAGATCAACGTGTGCGGCCCCTCGCACAGCTGTCTCCGGTTAAATAATGGCTCCTGCTGATCCCATCCTGCTAGCACAATTACCCAGAGCTCCGGAGACCAGAGCACAGACGCTCAGAATGCTTGGATAATGATTCCCAGCAAATTGATGACACTGGTGGCCTCGTTTGCACAAGCTAGATTAACCTGAGCGGGAGAGTTTGGTGCTCCTCGCTGAACGAGAGCTGAGCAGATACAGAGGAAACTGCAGTAAAAGCAGCACTTCATAGTGCGTGTTTGTGAAGTGGATTACATCCCAACACACTGGCAGTTTATCACCAAAAGCACAACTCAAGTGTAATGCATCCCTCACTTGAAGCAGTAAAACAAACACTTCTTTATGTGGATTGCTAACGTTTATGTGCTTCACCATGAAACCTGTTGATTCGGGTTAACAAAAGCACACGTTTTTCTGTGGCGAGAATGTCACCTTAAATGAAACTCAGCACCTGTGGAAATGGTTCCCCCTGGACTTCCATTATTGCCAATCCATTGTTTCTAGTCTATCAGCTTTTGGTGCTACATTAAAAACAACCAATTGCCACTGCCGGAGTGGATATACTGAACCGTAAATAATCATAGCAGGTTTTCACCCATCCCATCTCTTGGCCTGCGTTGCTTTGTCAGTGCGTGTGCATTGATTTTCATTCACCAAGATTAATTGGCCTCTTTAATAGACTAATTTCACAGAGGAACGGCAATAATCAGGGACAAATGAGCAACAGACTGTGTTTGTTTACTTTGCCTTTATTATGAAGTGCTTAAAATGCCTTGTGTCTTGTGCTTACATAATTTGAACATTGGCTCAAAAAGTCGCAGGACATTTTTTGTTTGTTTCTTGAACAGGTTTAGTGGATTCATCTACAGTAAAAAGGTTTTTCCTCTTCAAATGAGTATCTACATGAAGATCATTTCACAAACTGAGCTGTTGTTCCTCTTTCAATATATAAAAAAGGAAGATTGAGCTAGGTTATATCTACCTGAATCTAGGGTTTTTGTGCTACTTTTGAAGGATTTCTACAATGAAGTGCTTTTAAACTCAGGGACTGGAGAAAACAAAGTGTCAGATCTGAGCTGAGCTGGGAATGCAGTGTGAGTGCATTACAGAACGGCTATGCAGATGGCACACCTTCCCATCACTCCAGTCCTTTCTTGTCCTTGCGTGTCCCTTTAAGTTAACCTCAGAAAAAAACCATTACATGTTCCACACTTCTAGAGAATGGTTCTGAATTGCTTAGAGTGGAGTTACAGCACTTTGGGCCTACATCCTAAATCTACGTTAAATTCGAGGCAGGCAGTGCATAAGCAGAGAGCAAAGGAAGATGGTTTAGACTTATGGATTTAGTCTCACTAAACTCTACATTGGCATTTTCCCTGATGTGGTATTTTTAAATGTTTATTAAGAGTATTGGATCAAAACGTACCTGATTTAGAAAAAACTGCTATAGGTAATACTTTATTACTTTCAAAAATACCATGCATTATGATTATTGCTTTTTATATTCTTAAGAGAACCCCTAGAAACATTGCCCCCTGATACTATCTCTACATTTTGGCAAAATTATAAGCTTTGTGGTATTGGCATAGATTTCTTTTCTTTTCTTTTTGCATGCAGTATGTAGGTATACAAAAAGATAATCAAAACAAACAAACAAAAAACATTTTTTTTCAATTATTACCACGGATCTAAATGCTTTGGCGTGTTAATAAGACTGGTATAACCCAAAAGGCAACATTATTCAGAAAGAAAAATGCAAATTGAATCATAAAAAAATAAATAAAATAAATCACACTTTCAGTGCATCATAGAGAATCATACATCCTAGATGAAGTAATTAAAACAAACAAATAATAAATATTTAAAAAAATTAAATAAATAAATACCGGTTTACCTCGATTGTGAATACGTTTGGGCCACTTGCAGCAGTGTGATAATATCCACTGACAATACAAAAGAGTTTTATTTTAATGAGGAACATGGTGTCACTCAAACCTTCATTCGACGCCAGTCATAGTCAAGTGTTGCGCAGCGTCGAGGTGAACTGTCTGAATGTCATTTAAGGACATGGTTGCTGAAAAGCATGCGAAGGTTCCATATTCCTTTAAGGTCAACTTTGCAAAAGAAAAAAAAAATTGACAAAATTGTGCTATTATTCGGTTTCATTTTGATTGTGAGACATAACTGGGTAAGATAGCGTAATCATCCTAACACGTGACGGGACGGGGGGAGTGTGCGTTTACAGACCGGAAGTCACGCCTCGACGGACGCAAGCGGCGAGAACGCGCCTTTAAAGCATGCCGACTCGTAGTGCTTGTTCAGATAGGACTTGAGTGCGAAAGTTTTGTTGCATCGCTTGCATTTGTAATGCTTAAACGCGGAGTGGGTCTGCATGTGCGCCCGCAGGTTGGAGCGGTCGGCGAACGCTTTTCCACAGTGTGCACATCCAAAGGGCTTCTCGCCCGTGTGAGAGCGCATGTGGCCCTGCAGTAGCCAAGGTCTGCTGAACGCTTTCCCACATATGTCACACTTGTGCTTGAGGTCATGGGTAAGCAGGTGCATGGCCATGGCTGGCATGGACACGTACACTTTCCCACATGTCGGGCACTTTTTGGCCATCTTGCTGTCCAGGCTCCGGTGCGTCTGTTTGTGCCTGCTCAGGTTGGAAGACGTTGCGTAGGTTTTGCCACATTCGTTGCACGTGTGCCTCTGGAGGGTCCGTGAGCTGCTGATCACTTTCCGACGGGACCTGCCATCCGTGATGAAGAAAGCGTCCACGGCGTAACCTTCGCTCACCGCATTGTCGCCGTTGATGTACCCGGACGTGATCTCTGACTGCGGGCTGTCCGGCTGGTCCGAGTCAGGTGCTCCGTAGTCACTGTGGTTGCTGTCATAAATCGGTCCTGGAGAAGGTACTTTAGTGCCACCGTCACTTTCTCCATCATAAACGGCCGGGGTGATGTAGTCACTGATGTAACCTAGCATGGAGAGAACAAGATCTTTTATTCAATTATTCATATTCACAAGGGACTCGAGTGAGGACAATGGGGTTCGGCGGTGCAACGGCCACTTTTCCGCTCAATTTATCTCCACCTTGGCAAAAGGCGACGGGCAAACCAGATTGTGCCAGTGCTCTTTGAGATTCATTAAATGTTCAACAAATTCAGCATTTCTCTTTGAATATAATTAGACTTAATGACCATTCACTACAGGAAATTTCAAATAGAATACATGTCAGTTTGACTTCCCATTATTCCAGAGTTATTTCAGGACAAAGCCGTGGAGCTGTGAAGGATACCACGTTTACTGTGGACTTACAGTATGAGCACAGATAGCACTTTTTTTTTACAGTGGGAGATTAATTACCCCTTTCTAAAGGCACCACCATTAGCACAGTGTGCAGTGTGCAGCTGGACTAAGCGTTTCTTTGATTTGCAGAATAAACAAAACACCTAAGCTCATCTGGAAGTGACTGGGCTCCAAGTTGCAGAGAAGTTACACGTTGTTACCAGCAGCAGATTTTCAGAAGGCATGCGTCATGCATGTGAATTTTACCAGGCATTTTCAGTGCTGGAATCCCACTAATTATGTTTGCCTTTCCATTATGGTTTCACATAAACCACAAGCAACGCAACAGAGGTGCTCAATCCTGTAACTGGATATCTACTTTCCTTCCTGCAGAGTTTAATTTATACAGTAAATGAACCCCAAAACCTTGCTTAGCACCACAAAACCTTGGTCGCATCTAAAACTATGCTTGGATTTGGCTAAAGTGTGCTAAATAAACAAAAAAAGAACATATTCATTCCTTTGCAATTACCTTTGTCGTGTATCCGAAAGCTAAGATCGGTCCTGGATCTGCCGTACGCGCTCTCAAGTTCCGTGGATGAGAAATCATCTAGCTTCACCTTTTTCACCAAAAAAGACCTTGGCATGTTTAGAGCGCAGAGCTGAAATCCTCTTCCAGCACGTTATCCTCTCTTTATCCACCGCACAATAGAAGAGTTGGTCCTGCAGGGCTGAAAGTCAAACACCTGAGTGGGAGGAAAGACGAGGAAGCTCCGTTGCTTCAGCTGTGCACGATCCGTTCTGCACAGGCGAAATGCAACTTCAGCACTGGACAGCAGCAGATCCGCCTCCCCGAGCCCGAGTGTCAAAGTGCGCTTAGACCCAAATGGAAGCGCTCCAAAAATGGGCAGCTTTAAATGCGAGCAGGTTTCCGGAGAAGCTGTTGTTGTTGTTGCTGTGAAAGAGAGAGAGAGGTGTCCGCTGCTGTCTCTGCTCGCGCGGTGTCGGTTTGATGTCTGAGCTCTGCTGATCAGCTGTTGGGATTTATACGCGCGCGATCAGGTGGGAGATGGAGATGGAAGTGCTTAATTTCATCCATCAGAAATCTCCCGGGAACAACATTGGACGAGAATGATTTATTGATGCTGTTACTCGTCTCTCACTCTCCTTTTTTTCCCACATTCACGGCGCCCACCATGTTTCTGAGGAATAAGAATAAAATGTATTGTTTGGAAAAGTCGAGTTACGACAATCTATTGAACGTCATCCAGGCTTGGAATTTTTTTTTTACATTTCTTAAATTAAAGTGAATCACACACATATATATATATATATATATATATATATATATATATATATATATATATATATATATATATATTCAGATATATTTTTTGTACATTTTAGTTTTTCATTCCTTCTTTCTCTAACAGAATAAGTCAATACAAAATAACAGTTACACCTCAAACTTGGTCTGTTCCTCGTTTCCTTTGGTCGTATTCAGCACCTCTACTCTGAAAGCTTGCATAAAATAGCCTACATGGGTCTTCAACTGAAATATTATACTCAGCAATATCTAGCAATTTGTTTTATTTAAATAATATAGGCATTTGCTTTAGATATATTTGTTCTTATGTCATAGATGTCCAAAATAGAAAAAATATCCTTGCTGTTTTTCAAAACAAATAAATAAGTTAAAAAAACTGCTCTTAAACATGCACTAATTTATATTGTTTAATCAGAATAACATAAAATCCCATCTACTCCTTCCTATCAGTAACTAATAAACTGCCTATGTATCGCTGGGGTTAGGTTTATGAAAAAGGCACATTTTATGCTCCAAAGTGAAGCAAAGATAATAGTTGGGTCTTATTTCAAAAGTTATTTAAAAGGATGAAAACATTTCAAAGCTATTGTTTTTATTAATATGACAAACACAATATGACAATAGCATTTTACTTTAACTTTGGTTTTCAAACCCTCTGCTCTGAAGCTTTCACAAAATGCATCCACAAACTCCACAAAACCCTTCAAGTGGTTTTGCCACCGATTTACAGATTTTAGTCAATAGATTCCTTCCAGTTAGCAATATTAGTAGTCATTTATTTGATTCAAAAGGGCATTTGCAACAAAGTGTTGCCGAAGTTCATTACACTTGAAAACTGGTTCAAAACTGGTTCAAAACAAAATTACATTGTGTATAGCTTAAATGAATGAAAATAAAGATGCTGTTATTTTTACAGTATCTTGTTCTTTTGCCAGTGAAACAGAAAAGTTAAAGTCCTCAATGATTTAAAAAAAAACTAAAATATAGAGGCCAGATGACGATATTATTGAACCTAACCCTATAACCTTATGAGTTGGTATCAATTATTTGAGAATATAAAGTAAGCTTTTCAGACATAAAGTACTCTTAAACATGCCTATTTTCTATGTTTAACCAGTATTACCTAAAATCCCATCCACTCCGTGCTATCACTAACTAATCACCTGCCTGTGATTTTCTGATTTTTAGCAGCAGTGCTATAGGTTGCGTAGGCTAGTTTACAGCTGGTGCTCGTGTGTAGTGGCAGGCAGGCAAGCACAGAGGAGCGCAAGATTCAGGCTTTGCAGCTGCTGTGGCCCCCTCCACGAGCAGATGGAGCCTAGTGGGAACAAGCCGGGAATTGGGGGGGGGGGGGCAGTATAGGGGAACTCAAAATCACTAGAAGAAAGAAATAGAGGGAAGGAGTTTGAGAGAAGTGTTTGGTTTGTTGATGGGATCAACACAAATTCAGTAGTTTGGTCTTTAAGCAGTTTGTTCACTCCTAAAATCAGAGGATCAGAGCTTACATATATCCTGTTCTGTCAGTTCAGCACTAAACTGGATCAGTTTAATCTGTACCTAGAGTTTCTCCTGGGTTTTCAGGTCAAATCATACCAAATATCCTGATTCCAGCTGGTTAGGTCATCTTAAGTACATTCAATTGAATTAACATAAAGTGTACACACACTATAGAAACAAAGAAATCAATATAGATTGCCACAAGCAGCAATCATCCGGGTCCAAGCACCAATGGCCCATGTGAATGATTAGTGATCCAATTGAAATGTATCTTATGAAGTGGTTTTTATAGCTATATCTTTACTGAAAGTTAGAGCTTGATCATAATATGTGTAGTTTACTCTATGTGTGGACTCATAATCAACATTTAGATTTAGATTTAACGCATGGATAGGACCATTTCGAATGAATGTGAAGATTTGCAACTCATTTGCAGCTCAAAGCTTTAACTGTTGCAGAGTTATTAGCTTGTGGCTGATTTTCACAAAAATCAGTACACATATTCATTTTCACAAGATATACAAATATATACATTTTTGTAATGGTAGGCCATTCAAATTTTATGTTATTAAATTTGATTGGTTGCAGGCGGCCATGTTTTTTTTAATTATCCAAGTCATTTTGATGCACACCATTTATCAACTTCATGGATCATTGGTGGAATTTTACAAGGTGTGTATCCTCAGAATGTCCTTTTGTCTTTGCGTGTCAAGTTTTGTGAAGCTTGGACATTGCGTTCAGCAGCTATAGATCTATGCATAAAAATTTATGCTGCCTGACAAATTAATTAACTTATAGGCCTAAATTTGCCAATTCTTTTGATAGCTTTTTGCCCACACTGCTGTGGGCCTATTTTGGCGAAGGTCAGACCAACGGCCTAGGAGGAGTTCGAATAGTTCTTAGGAAAATTCTAAATGGCAGATACAATTTTATAGGAGACATTTTGTAGGGCTTGTAGGGATTCTGATGGAAAATATTTTTTTAGGGTTCTAAAAGTTATGATCCAAAATGCAAAAAAGCCTTATTATAGCGCCACCTAGTGTCAGACGGTTGTGTGTCTATGCACATGAGTAGCGTTGCATGATCGGGACAATCCTGACAACTTTGTGGTCTCCATGATTTATGGCCCATACACTCTTATTGCAGAAAAAATAAGGAGAAGGAGGAAGAAGAAGAAGAAGAAGATGATGATCAGTCCAAACACAATAGGTTCTGTCAGGACCACTATCGTCAAATACGATTGACAATTAGCATACAGTTTGGATTGGTGTTATGGTTCCGTTCTGGGCGAGAACTCCCTGCGCATCCATGCAGCCTATAGCATGGATAAGAGCAGGGAGAGCAGCAATAACCCCCCTTTCACGAGTTCACACTTACCTACAAATAAAGGGAATAAAGTATAATGCGTATTTGGCGTGCTGTCCGGGGGGAGGGCTCCGAGCTTGGAATTCGGCCCGAACCCAGAGTACTCCCCCCCTGTATGTAAAGTGGTTTAGGACTAGAAGAGTGGAGAAGGGGTGGTGGAGGGACGCTGCTAAACTATCAGAGAAATGAGGTGACACTGCTGAGTCTATATATACACGTTTTAATCATGATTGCTGAGTGCTCTCCACCCGTGTTAATTATCTGAACGTGCTTCTCCCGAACTTTGTTAATAAAACATCATTAGGGTAAACAGAACAGAACCCCTTTGGCTTGGACCCCTAATAGGTATGTTTGATAAAAAGCTTTATAACCATCTATTTCATGACAAACAGCTACTATGTATAAAGCATCAGATCTAAAATGAGAATAAGATCAGAGAATGAGATTTGTAGATAATACAGATGCACCAATATTGAAATTCTGGCAGACACTGATAATTATTGCTAATAACATAAAATATTACTTTTTTTTTATAATTTAAAAGATTTTAATTAATTTAAGAAATAAATATTTTTATTTTGTTTTTATTTTTTATTATATATTTTAAATATGTATTAAAACAAACATTTATTTAAATATTTATAAAATTACCATTTTGTCTAAATAAATGTAAAGTAAAACAATTTTTTTGAGGCATCATTACAGAATAAGGCCAAGGACATGAAATGTTAATAGTTAAATATAAAACATATTTAAAATAATTATTTATTAAACATGTATTATTTTATTATATATTTTAAATATTTATTAAAATTACATATTTAGTTGAATGTGCTAAAGATTACATTTAACAGTACTATTAAATTATTAGTGTCTTTAAAGATCTTAAGTGAGTGTTAGATGGTGACAAGGGTAATCTAAATGTAATAAATAAAGGACAATGAGCATGCATTTAATATACTGTAGAATATCTAACGATATGATAACTAAACAATAAATCTCTAATATACGGTTATTGTACTGATATATCATGCATTTCTTTTTTAAGACAATGGTCCACTCAAGCACAAGAGAGGTTTCAGTGCACAAATAAAGGGGACCGCTGGATATTATCCTTCAGCCTGCTGTCGCAATAATAACACTAAATATTGCTGAGTACAGTCCTCAACAGGCCAGAAATGCTGGCCTAGGAGTAAAACATACGTTGCCCTCTCTTTGAGTAAAACATACTTCATTGGCAAACCAGGGAAACAAATACCAAAGATTCCACTAAAGTTAGTGGGTGGCACTACAATTCACACACTATGTAATATGTACTACAAACTCTCTCTTTCCTCTCTCTCCCCCCACATTCACAGCAAATTGAGGATGATGCAAGTGATGGTGGGTAATTAGGATTCTCTCCTCCTCTTTGTCTCGAGCGCTTGAGCGATTTAAGTCATCACCACGCAAGTGTCAGTGGGGCTGCTGCGGATCTTTGCCTGAAGCTCTTTCCTTTACAAGAGTCAGCCTCCATCTGTGCCTTTGTAGTTTCTTCATCCTGATGAGGAAAGAGGCTCCGAGGTAATTGCCTTGAATCAGTGAAATTGCATTTCTATACTTGACAAGCCATTCTGTGAAAGAGTAACATACCAGAGACTGGGAATTCCGTGTTGGAGAGAGGAAGAAAAGGAAGAAGAGAGAGATATCATTTAATTCTGCCGACAGTCAAACAATGGTATGTCAGAAGTGATCAGAGGTTACATCCTTCTGAACCACAAGACACAGAGCCAA